CCATCGCATTTGAGTCAAAATAATAATCATAAATTTATCTAATGAAATATGAGCTACATCTGGCAAAAAATTATATAACTGAGAACGGCATTCCTATGCTTCAAATAGTGACTTAAGATGTCTTATAAAAGTTTTTAGGGGAGTATATTTTTTCTCTATTAACTCCAACTTATTTTTTAAGATGCAATAGGAAAATTACGCTGCGTGACATGCATCATATTCCCGTGTTTTCTTCCTACGCCCGCCATTTTTATTTACTCTGCATATTAGGTTTGTCTAAATTCAAACTTTATAGACTTTCAACAAGTTTGTGGAAAAATATATTAACATATATACCTTCAAATATATATATCATTGAACCTAAAAAAATATCATTGGATTAATCATTAGATATATTTTCACATCACATAAATATGTTACTTTCAACTTGGTCAAATTTGATAAAGTTTGACTTCAGTTAAAGCTAATACGTAGAGCTAATAAAAACGGAGGGAGTAATTTTTTGATCGAACGATTCGGTAATGAAGTTGTTTACACGGAAGTTGGTTGCGTACGCTCGAGATCTAGCTCGAGTCTTCTTCCCAGACTCAGCATCAATGCATGCGTGCACGTACGTGCATTTCATCGGCGATCGAAATTACACGGTCATCATACCGGAGTACTCCAGCTATAGCTAGCTAGCTAGCTTGTGTTGGCGTGGGCACTCGAGCCGTCAGTGGTCAGCGGACAGCGGTACTGTACTGGTCACCAATACGCAGGCCCGTGCAATGTGCATTGTGCATGGCTTCCTTTCTGTTTCTGTTTTTTCTATCGAAAGAAATGGTAATATCATTCCAGCTTTGAATCCACTCATCAATCATCCGAGAATTCCGAAACAGCATACTCTCTCGTACAACTCCACTCAACGACCACGATCGATCGAGGCATGCGTGCATGCACGCATGCATGCAAGAATGATTTGCTCCGCCCACCACGGCAAAGACCGTTTTGATTGATCAATGCCACCGCAAATTCAGGTGGAGGTAAGTGCGGGTTGATTAAAGGAAATGGCAGGGGGTTTTGTGCAAAAATGTGTGCGCTGACCGGTCCAGCCACCTGACTGCCAATTGTCGAGTTCTCACTGGCCTGGGACTAAATCATCACATGAGGTGCAAGTTGGGATATGGTGAAGTCAAGATTTACAAGTTTAGGACTAAATCGTCACATTCTATGCAAGTTAGGGTATCTAGGATGCTATTACCTCCTTATTTTTTCGATAAAGGATGAATTTTATTGGCTTAAAATGGAGCATCAAGAGAATACAAACACTATGAGCACACATCCGGACTCTGCATAGTTAGGATGCATACAGCCAACACCAACACACACAAACACGCCGGCAACAACAAAGTTGTATAAGACCAAAACTATGCATAGGCGAAGTAAAAAAAGAAAAAAAAGGCCCAAAGCGATCAGATCCACAGTCGGCAAACTATAGCAATGGCCATATCCACACCAACCATCTTATGACATCACACGGACAATGAGACTCTTCAACAACAACGCCTTCAGGAAGGTGACGACACTTAAACGCTGACGTCGCCGGATCCAACCATGAAGGCAGAATCAAGGTTTTCACCCTGAAGAAATAGCCTGAGTATGACCGAGCAATGCCTTCAACAAGGTAACGACATAAAAAATATCGCCATTGCCAGGAACCAACATAGGTCATACCTAGGCTTTCGCCACGGAGCTCAAGACCGGTGCACATAGCACCACCATCGAAGTCTTTCATGTGTTGTCACCACCACTTTCCGCTATCCCAGCAGCTACATGCGATGTGCGATCACCGCCGCTGAACAGTCATTCCTCTACGTCAAGTCTTTACCCATAGTTTGCATCTCATCACTGGAGTCAACCACCGGATCTGAAGAGATAAATCCTCACGGAGATCTTTCAGTGACCACAGCTGTCATGGAGCCGCAGGAGGACGCTGCAACAGTCTACACGCACCACCACCCGGCCGACCGAGTCTAGATCACCGCCAACATGCCATCTAGATCTGAACAAGGGCTGGATTGGATGGATCAAATCTGACGAGCAAATGCCTTGCACGCGAGGCAGCCAACGCGTGAGCGCGCACAATCATCTCCTGTAAGGCAGCCGCAGCTTGATCAGATCCGCGTGTCCCCATCCCGCTCAGGCCGATCCGATGCCAACGCCTATGCCCATCGACCAGAGCACCAAAGCAGCACGGCAGCACAGCATCACGTTGGCACCACACAGACGGCCAAGGTTTATACCGGTCCCTTCAAGCTCCATCTAATTTTTCCCCTAGTCAATCCCTCTTCTCACATACAGATGCCCTCTTTTCACGTCCAACGCCTTCCACATCAACCACAACCCTGGAGCTACTACGGCGTCAGACAACAACACCATCCTGCACGTCTCTGTCCCGATCATGGAAGCCGTGTCGTCCCGATCTCGCGGCTGGCTGGAACTGCACGGAGCCTCGCCATGAAGATGTATGGCGTCGTCGGTACTCCCACGGAGATCCTTCATCCCCTCATCGGAGCCCTCATCGTGCCACTGACCATCCACGTGAAGGATCGACAACGGATCTGGTCGAGATGCCAGATCCATGGCCATTGCCACCGCCCATCGTAGAGCCAAGGAACCCACTGGAGAATCCCGCCAGCCATGGGGCTGCTGTAGCCGCTGCATGGCCAGGAAGCCGCACTGGTCGTCATGCGAAGCACCCTACCCGAGGCGCCCCAGTCGCTTCTTGGGTTACCACCACATCGTCCTGCCCTAGCGCCACTGGCACCAGGCGCTGCCGCCATCGTGGTCAACGCCGGCGGCAGGATTTGATCCCCCCCTCCCAATCGCCCTGGGATGGAGGCAGGAGGGGGTCGAGAGTACAGAGTGTTGTTTACACACATCCCAAAGAGAAACACGAGTATATATGCTTGTTTGACACACGGATCAGGCAACAAACTCGCTCACATCAGACTGTCCTGGTGGGAAACATAGAAAAAAATTCACATGAACGGGAGATCGAGAGAGAAACCCAACGGCGCAGTCAAGACCAAATCTCTTTTTTTTTTTTGAATGTTGGCAGAAGAGCTGCCAAATTCGTTGATCAGAAGAAGGTATTACAAATAACACCACCAGAGGAGAAATGCATTGTATAAGACGAGTGCTAAAAAAAGAAATGAAACGGGGTTGCTTGGTTTATCGAGGGAAAACGGGTGAAAACCTAAGTAGCGCCTAACAAGACTAGGCCTAAAGCACCATAATACATACAACACATCAAAAGACCAACACCCCAAAACACGCCAGGCCGGGCGCTCGAGCGCTTTCGTCGCTGCGAAAGTGCACATGAAAACCGGTGTATCAATCCAAGCTGCCACAAGCATATCCGCAAAACTCAACGACATCAAAGAGGAACGCTATGTCCGATAGAGCAAATATATGCTGCTTCAATCCTGCGAGGTTGGCCGACATAACTTGCCTGACGCACTTGCATGTGGAGGGTGCCTCTGCTCCTCTCACGGAGATGCTAGACAAGCCGTCGCCAACCACCTACACGAGCACTGAGTCCCTCTGACCGAGTCTATCTTCAAAACGATGTCCTCAAGAGGAGACACGACGCCGAGCAAAGCCGATAGCGTCGTCATCGTCCAACCCAGGGAGCGGCGAGAAAGGTAGATCCGGCAATCAGGCGGACGTGTGGCTCACCTCTATTGGTCGTCGGCTACGAAGCGGCACCCACGTGCTGCTGGTTATGCTAGTGAGCAGTGGCCATTGGTGCGTGTTGTTTTGCCTCTGTTCAAAGACCTCGAGAACCAACGGCGTGCTTCCGGCGAGCTCCTGAACAGAACAGGGAGGAGCGGCGACCTCCGATTACTCCGATAAAGGATGCGTTACGTGGGCGTGGAGGGCAAGCGGAGCGGAGGAGCGATTAGCGATGAATCAATGGGGCGGCGTGCGTGCCTCCGATGGGGCGCTGGGTTAGGGAACTTTTTTTTTTGAAAGGGGGTTAGGGAACTTTTGATATGGAGGGATTAGCGCAATTGGTGGGATCAGTGGGACACAACGGGTGGAATATTCCTATGCGGGTGGAGTGCCCTCAGTCATATTAAATTGCTAATGGCCAATCTAACGGTGTTAATCAGGTTGGGTACATTTTCAGGGTGGCTTCAAGAAAGAAATAGTTTTTCTTGTGTGTGTTTAGAACTGTACAAAATGCAGGTGGGTACCCATGCTCGTCCCATCGATCAATGCACACAGCCACACGAGTCATTTTTGTTGCGTCAAAACATTTCAATTTATTATAGTGATGTACAGATTCGATCTTTATGTTAATATGTTCCCATACTATTATCACTCTTTTTAGACATAAACACTACTTCCTTCGTCCCATAATATAAGAACGTTTTTGACGCTACAATAGTGTAAAAAACACTCTTATATTATGGGACAGAGGAAGGACCTCATATTTCACATCCCTTGGAGATCCAATTTCAGAATGTTTTTTTGTCCATAGCATACGTCTCTAATCCTGTAAGAACTCATTTGCTTCGAGATATGACACAACTTGATCAGCCATCGATTTAGGCGTGGGGCAGTCACCAGCTTTGCACTGTATCACTATCTGCAAGGAGCAGTTAAAGGGCTCACTCAGCGAAATGAACACCCATCATTATTGAACTAGGAACCTCTTACAGAGCAGTTGGTAATAATACAACTATGTTGCTTTTAATAATATTTGGGTGTTCAAATATTTGCGCTTGCTAACCTCGCAGTCAGAAGGTGGTTCATAAGGATCATCAATTCCAGTAAACCCTGAGGATGATTTACAAAGTAAGATTTGCTAAAACATAATAAAGATGGTGGTCAGTTGGTTCATTTACCTTTGATTTTTCCTGCACGGGCAAGCTTGTACAAGCCTTTTGGATCCCTGGCTTCACAAACTTCAAGTGGGACATTCAAAAACACCTACAGAAAATACACTTTTCTATGCCGGTTACCTTGATAATAAGATCGACCAGATGGTTCGAAGGAATTCTACAGTGTGTGAAAACATACCTCAATGAATGTAGAATTGTGCAGTAATTTACGGCAAGCGCTGCGTTCACTTCTGTAGGGCGATATCAAGCTAGCAATGCAGATCAGACCAGCATCTGCAAACAGCTTTGCTACTTCTCCTGAAAAGTTGGACATGAACACATTTAGAAATGGTATAACTGCAAGGCAAAAAACGACCACAATACTGGGATCTTTGAACGGACAAAACATACCTACTCTGCGTATATTTTCAGCACGGTCCTTTGCTTCGAAACAGAGGTCTCGGTTTAACCCATGCCTTAGATTGTCACCGTCTAGAATGTAGGTCAGATGACCTCTGGAGTGCAGCTCGCGACTTAGCGCGCATGCTAGTGTGCTTTTCCCTGAAGTATATGTTGAGATCTTACAAATATAATAGAGGCTCCACAGTTTAGTGTATGACTATGATGGCTTGATCAGCTCGTAAATACCTGAACCACTTAACCCTGTTATCCACACAACACAACCCTTCTGATTTAGCAGTTTCTGCCTCTCAAACTGAGCTATTGGACAGTCATGCCAAAGAATGTTTGTCGATTTCCCAACAGTTGAGGTCACAAGCTTGTCGATACCTGGTAATTTCAGGCTTGTAAGGTAAGGGTCTTGAAAGGATAAATCATGTATTGTATAATGCTGCCAAAGATAATCACATTTGGCGTATAGTGTTCCAGGATTGTGATTTCTCATAACTGAAGATCTAAGAAAGGTGCTGATCCATACACTCTGCTATGATTGACTCCATAAAGAGAAGAGGAGTGCTAAAGCTTGTAAAACAGGAGACATGATAAAACTGAAAATGTTTGGTTGCATGGACATGTCATTGAGGTGAGCATCCCATTTGAGGGTCCCAGTTCCAGACAGTATCAGCAAACTATGATTTTGTCAGCACCAACCAGTCCACACAGAACCATGTGCTGTCTTAATAGTATATCAACTTTTCCATTTTCTTCTTGAAGTTCTCTATGTTAGTATCAACAAACTATGGTTTTGTCAGCATCAACCGTTCCTCGCAGCACCATGTGCTGTTTTAAAAAAACTTGTGACATGTTCGAAAATTGACAGGGGTTATGTGTCTTAGTTTTATACCAGCGAGCAGCATTTTTGAACTGCATTAAAATTCCAAATAAACCCCTGTCCTTTAAATTAACTTTTTTGGCTCCCTTTTTGCAAGCCCCACCGAGAAACTGTTACACTATGTATAGTCAAACAGAGGATTACTGACAAGCCAAACTCAGCTGCTATTCTGTCATATTCACCCAAATCGTTCTCGTCCGTACATGGAGGTTGTTGCTCATAATAAAATGAATTGAATCAGAGACCAAGTTGGTGGGGTTGGTTTTGAGGATTGGGAATCCACAAATATGTTAATGCACCATTTGTTGCACATGGTGAGAAATATATCTGAAAAGTCAGCTAGGGACTCATAAAATGGATTGAATGATTTTCCTTTTCCCTGAACAGAAAAGGATTGAATGATAATCCTTCTGTTTCTTTTTACTCTGCATGTAAGCTTTGTCGGCAGGTCAAATTTCACAAAGTTTGACCAAGATTATAGAAAAATGTCATTAGATGCATCATGCAATTTGTGAAATTTGACCAACATATAGAAAAATGTCATTAGATGTTGCTATATTTTAATATAAACTTGGTCGAACTTAACGAACTTTGACGTAAATCTTATATGCAGAGTAAAAAGAACCAGAGGAGTAGTTGTAAGCATCGAATTTCCACGTTTATCTCTTCGCCGCCAGTTAGTACGTCCAAGCAATTATTTGGAAGCACTCATTTATGATTCAAGTAATAAAAAATCTGATTCAAAAAATATATTTCAGCGCCAGTGATCCATGCACTAGTTTTACAATAACGGAAGCATGTGTGGCATAATTTTACTTTGGGAATAGAAATGATTTTAGTTACTTGTACTGGAAGTTTTAACTTTTCAATGCTAACAATTCGTATGACGACGG